GGGAGAACATGAGATTTCCATCTTTGCTAAACAAACAGAGATCAGAAATCACTGATGCAACATTGACCCATAAAACACTGATGACTGAGGTCCTGTTCTCCCCTGTACTACACCCAGGGAACAACAGATGGTAAAAGGAAAACAGGGTGAGAACAAAACAATATGGAAATAAGGTTGGCTGTTTAACAAATGTCACTACTGCGGTCCATTTATGCTGACTGACGCTGGTTGGTTTTTCAGCTTTTCCTTTTGCGCAACAAAATCAGGCATGTTTCATCTTCCAGTCTTGATACCGAACTGTTGTTGATTTTCTTTTGTTGGTTTTCTTTTCTTTTCTTTTTTTTTTTTTTTTTTTTTTTTACATCTAAGTTTATCAACACTGATACATTACAGATCTTGTTAGTTATACTTTGAAGTCTGATCATGCAGAACTACAGGCAGGTGCAACTTAGATCTTATTACAGAATGGACATGGCAAGGTGAACAGTTGTTTTTGCTAGTTAAGATCTGGAGCTCTGTTACTGTTGTGGCTTAATGTATACTGGCCATAAGTCCCACTTACTCAATTTACTAAATATACATGATTCTGTATGTACACTAGAACCTCCAGCACCCACCTTTTCAGCATGTGACTGACTTAGGAAAAGGTCAGAGGTCAACCATATTTAAGCATACAGTGACCTTATCATAAAAGATTTAACAGAAATAGCATGTTGGATTATTACATATTAGTTACAGATAAAGGAGAGAAAAAAAATCAGTACAACTATTTACATTATAAATATCTTGCTTTCCAGAAGACAAGAATGGCCCTGTTCAGTGAAAATTAGCAAGAAAGACAGGCTTACCTGTCTGAAATAATAAGCATGGTAGAGATACATTTATTTCCCAAATTGGCTGTGTCTTCCTTCAATACGTGCTTTTCAGCTTTTCTCTCAGATAAAAGGCACTATTAGCCTCGGTTGAAGTTTTTCAACATCCTTTTGTTGAATCAAAACCTCTTTAAAACTCAGACTTGCCATGGGTCAATGAACTTGAACATAATTTAAACAGTCCACCTCTTGCAATCAATAGTTTATTTTAAATAAAGAAAATAAAAAAAAAAATCAGTCCACACTGGCAAGTATACTCAGCAGATTCCACTAAATTCCACTGCACAGGTCTGTTTTCCAGCTTATCAGTGAAGATAACACATTCAGCATTTCCCTGCCTCCCCCAGGCATCTCACTAATTAAGACATTACGTATTTGTGGAATATTTAAGCCTACTGCACAATGAATTTCTCTTTGTGTGTGTGTGTGTGTGTGTGTGTGTGTGTGTGTGTGTGTAAGATTACCTTGAGCTTCCAATTAGTTAACTATGTCCTTTGTAAAGTGGTGGAAGTTCAAATAAGCACAGCCATCAGATTCTTGAAGATGTGTGATTATGTTACAATTGCACTCTTTAGCCACACTGAGAACTTGGATCAAGTACGAATAGAACACAGGTTCAAAAAATCACCTCCAGATGCACTCCCTCTCTTTCCTACATGCACATATGGAAGCAAAGACAAACAGAAGGCTAAACTTAAATTCAGACTTTTTTGCTGGACTACTAAAAGAAAAGTCTAATTTTTCCCTGCAGGTTTTTTTTTTTTTATTTGTTTGTTTTCTTTTTCATACTGCTGTCCCTGGAATCACACAGAATTTGTTGCAGAATTCCTTTGCTGTTGTTGTTGTTGTTGGTTTTTGCATATTTGAATTCGTACAAAATTTTAAAGTCTCAATAATCATGAAGAACTATAGATAGATCTGAAATTAAAATAATTTTTGATCCTCTGTAATATAAATAAACTAGTATTGGCTGTTAAAACTTATTTTGAATTAAAATAGTCTAATTACATTTTACAATTATTTCAGGATACTCAAAGCACTTTTTATTTTTTAATAAGTAATCTGGGAAATTTGCTGACATTGACTCTCTCAGGCAGTTCTAAAGTTAACTAGTAGCATATTTTTCATGAGAAAATATATGGATGTAAAAGAAATTACTGGTGGAAAATAACCAGTGCATTAGGTAAGTATCTGATGAGGCTCCTATTTTTTCTTTTTTTTTTTTTTTTTTGACATGCTACCACCTTGCACTCCAATTTAAGCTCAATTTATACAATGCAAGCATGCTAAGATTTCTGAATTTATCTTTGCCGTGGAATTCTATATAGCATGGGAGGATTATCAACCACAATGTGATTCATATAAATCAGTGTGTGACCAACTCAAATATCTGAATTCTCCAAAGATCTATTACATTGTAATGGAATATAGTCAAAACTCACAAGATACGATTCCATACGAAGACTGACTTCAAAGATTACAGATTTTTTTTGATTGAAAACATGTATAACCTTGCATCGACTTGAAATAAATCAATACCTCACCCTCATTCAAGTTCATCAGGGAGAAGGAAAATTGAGGAAGTGTCTCTTAAGAACAATTATGATATTTTTTTCCTTTTCTAGTTTTTCATACCATTCAGAAGCACTCCATCTGAAAATAAAGCAGGAATATTTTGCAGCAACGTTTCTCTCTACTTTGTCAGTGTTATTTTTTGCAGCTAGTGCTCTCAGCAGCTACTGATAGTTAAGATGCTTCTGCCATTTTCCTCATCTTGCTGATGGCTATCTACACGACTTAAGCCACTTGGGACAGAATTTCTTCATGTATTCAGGCACTTAAGATACCAACAGGCTCTTAGGTACAATTTCAAAAATACCAAGGTGTCCAGCTGACATTCATGGTGATGTGCCACTTCTGGCACAGGCTCTCTGGTTGCTCCTTTAATACCCAAATATCTTGGAACATCTGTACATAGATCTCTGGCTTCCCAATTTCCTACATCTCTCCAGTGGTGGCAATTATGCTTACAACTGCAAACCTCTGAATGAGCTGCAAATTGTTACTCAAGTAATATTCAGTAATATTTTAAACAGAGGTAGATTTAAAAGGTCACTGGGAAAAAATAAGAAAAGCATTATCCGACTTAACAGACTGTGGGAATAAAGGGGAATGGGCTTAAAGAGAAGGGTATCAAAAACTTCTAGAATCTGAAAGTAAAAAATTGTTTACCTTAAGACAGCTACAGAACATCATCACTACAACCTTTTATTCAAGAGTACATGCATTCTTGTAAGGAATCACCTGACAGCGCCAACTTCTTGACACAAAGCAGAACAAAGGATACTATTCCTGTTCCACGGTCGCTACTTCAGTTTGAACATATAAGGACTAGAACTGTAAAGAACTATTGCTTTTCTTCAGTAATGGCTTTTTTTTTTTTTTTCCTAGTGTCCAATGTGGACAGCCCATCTCCTCCCCCAGATAAAGCTTCCCATAAAGGAGACTAATCTGAGGACAAAAAGAGATGCAGTAATTCTTTTAAGCCCCATTTCAGCAAGGCACTTAAGCACATGCTGATGTTGATCACTGCTGAGCAAAGGACAAAAGCACATGCCAGTTGAAATTATGTATGCATCCCTATAGTCTCCATTAAATGTACAAGCGTGGGTGCTTAGTGGAATCAGGGCTTTTGGAAATAAAGCTATGTAATTGCTGTGGGTTGATTTAGTGCTGATCACTAGGACATCTTCTATGCTGACTGGTTCTTCACCCACACTTCACAAACCCAAACAAGTCTGAGTATCAGGGGACTAAGCACATTTTGTACTCTGATAGATGAAATATGGGAGATCTGTAAGCATCTGTCTACCATAAATAGGCTTCTCTGCTACTGCGTATGCCATATCTCCACAATATCACTGTCAATGAACTGTGATTATTCCAAGTTTCTATGGTCTACATTTGTGGTATTTTTGCAGTTTCTTTTACATACAGCTTTGCCTCTTTGAGATGCTTTTTTTTTTTTTCTGTTTAAATAAAAAACTCAAATGGTGTGCACTAAGGAATGTAAAGCAGATACTAGTTACCTGAATATTATTAATATATATCTGTGGTGAATTAAATCTTGAGATGATACATTTGATTATTGCTAAGAAGTCACCCTTGGGGTTATTGCCTTCATACCTACAAAGCGTTGCTGTTTACCTTTCAATACATTTATGATCACTGGCTTTGAAGTGAGAGTCACATCACTCAACAATGACTTTGTATTTCATGGCTTAAGAGAGAATATTGCTAAATATTTTTAGCAGTAGTAAATTATTGCTTTTACAGTTACTTTAGAACATTATCAACCTAATCTTGTTCTCAAAAAGATTTCTATAAAAATCTACCAAAAATATACCTGGGGAAAAAAAAACACAAAACGTTTCCTACAGCAATTTTGAGACAGCTCAGGCCTACTAAGTCTGAAATTATTTCATATCCACTTAAGTTTTATCTCCCCTCTTCCTCACCCTGGAGAGAATGTTTCTTGCTTTTGTTTCCTTCCCTTTGAGCAAAACTGGACTTAATAGGTTTTTTTCCTACCACAAATGTCAGGCTTGTAAGCTACCTAATAGAACAGTCTTATTTTGGTAGAATTTTGAATACATAAGAATCAATGAATTCAAAATATCCATTAATACAGTCAAAACAGTTTCTCTCTTTGACATTAGGAAAAGCATTGGAGTACAATTATCTCATTTCAGTTTACATGAAATACTCTGGTAATAGGAGAGATGACTTGGATTTTAGTTAGCTTCCAACTCAGGTGATGATGACCTTACACTGGAAAATGCTAATTGATGTTTTAGCTGTCAGTTGTTCTGACATTCTGGGTGGAGCTTTGCCATTCTCTGATAAAAACACTTGCTGTTACTTACCACAGCAAATACTATGTATTACTACCTGGTAAAATCAGTCACTGTCAGGTTCTTCTGACTGTATCACCTAAGACCCCTGATTGAGACCATTTCAGCCCAGCACACTAGCTGATTGATATCCTCTGCTATTACTCAGAATACAGGAATATTAGAGTTACTTACCACAGCAAATACTATGTATTACTACCTGGTAAAATCAGTCACTGTCAGGTTCTTCTGACTATATCACCTAAGACCCCTGATTGAGACCATTTCAGCCCAGCACACTAGCTGATTGATATCCTCTGTTATTACTCAGAATACAGGAATATTAGATCCGCTCACTCTGTGGTTCCTTTCCATGTAACACAGCTGATAAGACTTCCTGAAGGAGTCCGATGGTTTGTCACAAGCAAAGGAACAGCCAAAAGCACCTAGAGAAGGCCTGTTGTCTTAGCAGTAGAGATCACTGCAAGAGAATTATTTAAAGGGGAAAAAAACCTCTAAGCTGCAAACGTATACTAGAGAGGGAGTGGGCTGCAAATATTTAACCTATAAAGACATAGAAGTAAAATAAAAACAAGTTGTTGCATGACCTTTTGATATTTTTCTGCCTTTTTCCCAACCCTGTCATACCACTCTAACATAACACACAAGCCACAGGTATTGTGAATACATGTAATTCATAATAGCAAACCTATCTATGAACTAAGATGGTAATTCACTTAACATTAGCAGGAAAAGTTGCTTACTGAGATAAAACCTTCCAGGCTTAGACATGTATAAAAACCCCTTCATTTCTGTTCCCTGTATCTTGCAAAGATACATGTGCTTCCTTCTAACCTGGTTTTAGCTTGGCATATCTGCTTTAAAAATCATACCAAGTCTTAACATTCATGAACATTTTTCTATGAAGCTCTGTGGCTTCTTCTTTCAATACAAACTGCTTACTATTTCAAAATATATATACAAATCTCAACAGAAATTTTGGTGCTACATCTTCAAGTGTCTGAGGGAGCCACATTTCAATGTGGTTATTTACACTTCCACAAACCCTCATACAAGTTATGCAACCTCATCAATGAATAAACAAATATAATATGTACTGGTAATATCACAGATGTAGTTATGCAGTTCATCTGAAACGGGCCATTTATAGTTGTGAAGTGCACATTAAGTCCATATGCAGATGTGCATGTTCCTATAGGCACCCAGCTGCATGCGCTGACAGAATTCTATTGGCACCTGTGTGTATGTGCTATTGGTATATGATGAACAATGCATGTACATCCCTATCTGCATCACTGGGCAGAAGATGACAGAACAGAGAGTGAAGGCAGATACACACTCATATGTTTGGGAGTGACTACTGCACACCTTGGCATGCCAGTGTGAAAAGGACAGTTGCAGGTTGCTGGTTTTGCAGCCATTAATTTTACATCTTATGGGGAGGGGATTAAAAAAAAGGATTATTTAGTTCCTTTTTTCCTTGCCCCCCAGTAAGCATTACTGGAAGAAGACCAAAGCAGAGCAACTATAAGTTAAATATACACTTTAGCTTAGCTGCATTACATAAATCTGTAGGAGAAGCAGGCTGAAAAGATTTTGTTTGTTTCACTTAAATCTTTGTATCTCGTTTATCTTCCTTTTCATTTCTTAACTCCTGTTAATTTTTCCTCCTAAATCACATCATCCTCTGAAGAACGCTGGGTTTCGCAGGCAGGCGGCTAGTCACCTGCAACAACCAAGGGGTCCCGCAGAAGCTTCCAGGCTGCTGTCTGTGTCAGACGCCAGTGTTTGATCCGTGGACATGGATGAGATGTCATTGACAGATGAGGATGGAGGGAGGCTTTCACTGCTGTTCACTGCTGCACCTGTGCTACGAAAATGAACACCAACGTGATTAAACCTGAAACTCCATAACTTCTCACAGTTTAAAAGCAAGGGATGCTTACCCTGTGGCAATAGGCATGTAAGTACACAGACCATTTTAAACAATGGCAAATATTAGCAGAAAATGGGTGATGCAAACTTTAGGCATTGGATAATATCAAACCTTTTACCGGGAAATTCTCTCCTTCAAAAGTCTGGCTTGAAGAGGTCTAGCTCATGTTGTGTCTCTCGTGCCACTTCTTTTCCACAAAACACCCAAAAATCAGATGTCTGCTAGGATCACACAGGCCCCACCAAGATGGTTTAAAAAACCAACCCAATCCTCCATACTCTCTCATGTCTACATAGAATCATGGAATCATAGAATAGTTAGAGTTGGAAAGGACCTTAAGATCATCAAGTTCCAACCCCCCTGCCATGGGCAGGGACACCTTGCTCTAAACCATATCACCCAAGGCCTCGTCCAACCTGGCCTTGAACATTGCCAGGGATGGAGCATTCACAACCTCCTTGGGCAACCTATTCCAGTGCCTCACCACCCTAACAGGAAAGAATTTCCTCCTTATATCCAATCTAAACCTCCCCTGTTTAAGTTTGAATCCATTGCCTCTTGTCCTATCACTACAGTCCCTAATGAAGAGTCCCTCTCCAGCATCCCTGTAGGCCCCCTTCAGATACTGGAAGGCTGCTATGAGGTCTCCACGCAGCCTTCTCTTCTCCAGGCTGAACAGCCCCAACTTTCTCAGCCTATCTTCATACGGGAGGTGCTCCAGTCCCCTGATCATCCTCGTGGCCCTCCTCTGAACTTGTTCCAACAGTTCCATGTCCTTTTGATGTTGAGAACACCAGAACTGCACACAGTACTTCAAGTGAGGTCTCACGAGAGCAAAGTGGCAGGATTACATGTTACTAAACTACATGGCATTTTATGAAAATATTAATCATTTCAGACAAATGCATGTAGATATAGCCAAAATATGACTGAACTTAATGATATCAATGACTAAACAGTATATTACCTTTCTAAATGTTTACAGTGCTGGACAGAAACCTGCCATTAAGTCATGGATACTGTCCCAGGAGTTGTAGAATCATAGAATAGTTAGGGTTGGAAAGGATCTTAAGATCATCCGGTTCCAACCCCCCTGCTATGGGCCAGGGACACCTTGCACTAAACCATGTCACTCAAGATTCTATCCACCCTTGCTTTAAACACTGCCAGGGTTGGAACATTCACAGCTTCTTTGGCAACCCATTCTAGTGCCTCACCACCCTCACAGTAAAGAACTTCTTCCTTATATCTAACCTAAATTTCCCCTGTTTAAGTTTGAACCTGTTACCCCTTGTCCTATCACTACAGTCCCTAATGAGGAGTCCTTCCCCAGCATCCCTGTAGGCTCCCTTCAGATACTGGAAGGCTGCTATCAGGTCTCCAATCAAAGGGAAAGAAAGAATTCCAGTAGGTTCAATTGACTTTCGAACAAACTGTTGCTGTGCAGCTTTCTTTGATGAATGTGCAACCAACTTAGCTAGGCAAAATAACTGATGAGATAGCTGCAGAAATTGTACAGGTGAATACTTTGTTACACTCAGTATGATTCAGAACCACTGAATTCAATAAACCCTTCTATATTCTTTTCACCAAGTACCACCTCAGCCCCAGTTGAGTTTCTAGTTTCTGGAAAGTGCATTTTTATAGCTATTCCTAACTTTCAGCACAAAGCCAAGGGAAGCCACACCAAACCTGAATGACAGAATTAAAGAATTCAGCAGCACAAAGCAACGCTTACACAGCAACACTCAGAAAGCAAACCAGAAGCTGTCCTAGCCAACAAGTAATGCTTAATTTGCTATGTGCATCACCTGTCTGGTGCTACAACAACTTGTTCCTGAAAGGATGGATGCCAGGTGAAACAGTGCAGAACTAAAAAAGGTACATTCAAAAGAGAAGGAGAGCCCCATGTATTAATTTGATGTTTGGGAGGAAGCTTCTCACTGGTTACAGAGCAAAAGGTTAGAGCAGGTGAAAAATAAGTCCTGGGATCTGTTCCTGGCTCTGCCATGGGGTTGACATCTGCTCTTTCAAGCCACACATCAATTTCCCTGCTTTACAGCAGGGATTCCTTCCTCAGAGGAAGCTTCCTATGAAGCCCTATTTAGCTAGCATCTGTGGAAGTGCCTTTAAGAATCCAGTTACAAAGTGGTACAGATGTGAGGGGAAAAAAATGAAAGGAGAAATTCAGCTTTCACTGTTTCCAAAAATATGCCTTGTGTAGGCATTGGGAATTTGCTCAGCTTCTTGTAAATCATGTCATTAGTAGCTCTTGATATCCAGTGTCTCAATTCTTGGCAAGTCCATAAGCTGCTTAATTTAAGCTCTGAACATGACAGAAGAGGGCTGCTAAGGGTATCCTGTAGTTCTTGGATGACAGCAACAAAACTGACCAAATAAGGCAGCAACTAAAAGGAAGGGAGGGAAGAATAAAAGAGCAATTTTCAGCAAGAAAGGTATTATTTAACAATCCTGAAGGTTGATTAAAAGTAGTGGCTATTCCTCACATGTATTTAATATTCTCCCAGATATGGCCTAGGCCCTTGGAATAGTGAGTATGTTGGTAAGGGGTACAGCATCTGAATTTATAAATAAAACATCCATTTAGCAATTCTGTAACAGGGAAAACACAGAAAAGCACAAACTACCATCTAAGATTAAATTCAATGTTTCTGTGTACATGTGGACATGCATATATTGGTGTACATGCAGATGTCGTTTGCATGCGTTGTTTACATATTTAAGTAACATATATACACACCTACACACAAATCTTTCCACTTAAATCAGCACTACTAGTGCCTTAAGCAGATAGGTTTGGGCACTGTGATCTATGAAAGATAGAAGTCAACTAGGTAAAGCAAAAAAAAAAAAAGGCAGTAAATTTGAAAAATTCAAAGACGCAGGTACTGAAGTTCAAATGAAGGAAGACTTATTGGGGATGCGATAATGGAATTTATGTGAGGTAAGAGCTGCCAGAAAGACAGATGGAGGGAACTGTGCTCCATGTTCTCTGGAAACAGGGCAAGAAATAACAGAGTTAAACTACAGCAAAAAACAGTTTAGGCAAGACAATAGAAAAAAAACTATTTGAAAGTCTACAATGTAGCCTACAGAATCTTGTTTGGAATAGGCAGTAGAAGTATCTGCTGTGAACAGTTTCAGACACAGTTGATTTTATTTGTTGGGCATAGAGCATGAGTGACACTTGAGGTTCTCTCAGGGCTTCACATTTCAAGCTTGTTGTTGTCTTCACAGGACAAGAAGAAGCAGTAAGTTACCGACACTCTGATACACCATCAGTCTAAGCAGCCTAAACTGTCTACGGGCAATGGTTACCCTTGGTGGTGTTAACATCAGCTGTCTCCCTGAAAGCTCTACCAAGTAGACACAGAAACACCAAACGTGTCCAGCTTGCCTATAGCGATTGTTTATACAGGCCAAATCTTAGCCTGCTGAATTCTTGCCAAGAACACTGAAAAGCAAACAGTGTGTGTGTGGTCTCCCTCATTTCTCTTATGCTCAGAAATGATGACTCGTGTCATCTCATTCTTCCAGTATTTCATTGAGTGGAAAAAAAGTTAAGTCAGATGCGTGAAGTGATGAAAAACAGGAAATCTGATGTTTCATTAAAAAGCCTCATCTCAGAGCATTTCTTAAGTAGTCACAATACATGTTGGTGCCTAACAATCCAAAAACAGTCAAAGGGAAACAGCAGAAGACAGACAGGCAAGAAATGCCAATTTTGTGTATTCTGAAATATTTTATATAAATAATAAAAACCTTTCACATAGGAAAAATAGAACCTAGAATACATAAAGAAATCCCTGAGTAGCAAATTCCCGAAACCAGCAACTACAGTGTTTCTTGATCATACATGGCACTGCAAACACCATTCTTTGAGAGATGGTTAAGAATGAGTATTTATTAACACACTTGTCAGGACCCCAGATTTCTTTCCAGTGGTGGTACAGAAGTTTGGTAAATTAATTCTGCCAGTCCTATGTTTTATTTGCTACTCAGCAAGAACACGGTGGATTGTCCACAATATCTGACATCATCAATGTCAAAATCTGTGTGCAGTACTAATGCTCCAATATTGTCATCCAGTACTCCATTAACTTCCTCCACTGTTGCCATGTTTCTCCTTCTCCTGCTAGTTACTAATGATACATTCTTATTCTAACATAAATTTGGCTCAGTAGCAAGTGAAAAATGAGAATATAAAAAATCTCTCTGTGAAAATATGCAGTAAACACTGAATTAAATGATTTTGCTTTGAGGAAAGGCTCTGTAGAAGGTAGTTTTACTGATAAACACTACCAGAACACTGCTCAAAACCTGGGCACTCCAAGTCTGCCAATGAAAGCATACCTTCACAAATATGTGGGAGTTGGAACTAGATGATCTTAAGGTCCTTTCCAACCGTAGCTATTCTACAATTCTATGATTCTATGTATTTCTGTGTACTGGCAGTTACAGGGTGCATTTCTGTGAAAAGATTTCTGATGTGAATTTTCCCCAGTTAAAATGTAGTTGTTAATTTATTTTTTGACAGGACTTAAAGAATTTGTGTTTGAAGACAACTTTCCTTTCTCACTGAGGTGTCAATCAAGCTTGTCAGCAAGCTGATCTAATGTTATCAGACTTCTGAAAAGATGAACTACCAGAGTAGATACCAGATGCTTATATGAGGGTGGGAGGGGTGCTGTATCACATACCTGTCCAGCAGGTGGATACTTGCTAACATCACCAATTTTTTATATCAGTTAGCAAAGTATTAATTCAATTATCCATATGCAGTATAATAATAATAATCCAAGATAAGCCTCCCACCCACAAGAATATAACCTATAACCACAGATCTTTCCATAGAAAATGCCAAGACAACATATCTCAAATAGCCAGCAAGACTAATTTTTAAGCATGAACATGACACTGGAGCACAATTAAATCATCCCATTAGAAGCACTGGATTTCACAAGAATTTCTAAATTGGTCTACATAACTGCAAGTGTAGCCAAGTACTTCAGCTATTTCCATTCCCTTTTTGTTAGTACAGAAAACGTCGAAGTTATTCAATGGGGCTGAGTACCTGAAGGAGAAGGCTGTCCTTTTACTACACCATTTTTAGTCTTTTCTTCAGAGTTCATTACTTCTTTGTAGATGAGTTCTGGAAGAGAGAATTGCAGCAGTTACAAACAGGAACCAGTGCCTATGATCAGGAACAAAACAACTATCACAAAACACAGTGCTGTAGCACTCCGATGGGCATCCTAGGTCTGCTCTACTTTGTCTTCACAAGTCTGGCAGCTCTACTCACCTAAGACCTCTCTCTTTCATTCCCCTCCTCTCCTATCATCTCTTTTTGGAGCTGAATTGAGACAAACAGGGTTAAACGCAAGACTTTTTGCTTAATGCAACACTGTCTAGACATAAAGCAGCACGGTAATACAGTGCTTTTTACTGTAGCTAAATTTCTGATATATCATCCTGCTGAACAGTGTTCTGATCTCCAGATGATATCCTTATATTTCAATGAAGCAGTGCAATCCACACCTCCTGTGTTAACATAGATAATGTTAGCCCTCAGAACATATCTTACATCTTCACTACCAAAGCACCAGTTTGTAGGACTAGTGTCAATTCTTTATGTCAAAGGAATTCTTTTAGTTTTACACAGACACTTGGCAGTGGCACACAGCCACTGAAATACCCTTCCCATGTAACTCTAAACTGAATTACCTTTCCATTCCTCAATTGTATGTTCTCTTTCATCCAGCTGTTTATCATATATCTGAGGAGGTGGCTGCAGAACAGAAAAAAAAACATTTATTCAATTGTTAAATTGTAAATAATTAGGAGTAATTATTTAAGTAAAGGTAAATTCTCTTTCCGTCTTAGTTATCTATCCTGTACATGAAAAAACACATGAAACACACTGGAATATTAAAGGGATTAACATTTCTGGACTTCAACTCTTTATGCAGAAGAAATCAATATACAACAATCTTTTAAGCAAGAGCTACAGTTGCAGCTGAAATAGAACCCCGATCAACAATGCCATTATGCTTATACTGAGACCAGAAACCACACGCAGATTGTTCGCACTGGCAGAGAAAGTACTGTCAGAGTAACAGACAAATACCAACCCTCATTAATTAGTAGTAAGATTACTATGTTAAAGTTGCCCTTTAGACATCATACTCATCATACTGTTATACTACTTCTCAGATTAATTTTGAAGTAAATCTCTGCTAGAATTTCTGATCCATATTCCAAATTACCAAGCTTTTCAGTATATATATATTTTTAATAAATTTCCTTTGGCCAGAAAGGTGTGTTTGGGTTAGGTTTTATTTGTTTGTTTGTTTGTGTGTTTTACTGTTTTAGTTGATGAGTGTTATAGAAGTAGCAGATCCTGGAATTTCTGGAATTTACTGAAACAAAAGCAACTAGAATTTCCAAGAGCCTGAATACCTGCTTTCATTGGGCAACTAAACCATATGTTCATTGTCTCTTCTGATGCTAGCTGCCAAATACAGCAGGCAAGCAAGGCAAGGAACTCTCTTCCTCCCTTCTTCCAAGAAGCTTCATGATCCAAGGGTTTATAATGAAGATGAAAAGATCTACAACTCTAACTTTCCTCTGACTTTCATCTTGAACACTTGGCCTTTGCATCCCTTTCAAAACATTCTACTGTTAAATGCACATTTACCAAGCTGCTTTCTGATTCACTTAGAAGTTGAGAATTTGCTCTCAAGACTCTAACACCATCAGTCCATTAAGCTATTTGCATACTAACAGATACAACTGAGAAACTGATGTAATACGGACCTGGAAAATGGTATGATAGCTGAACTGGACAAGTGTACTGAAAACAAAACAGCTTCTTGTACAGTGACATTTGTACTGGGGCTAAAGACAAGGGAATTATGTGAAGTTGTGAAATGCCAAGTCTCATACCCTAGAAAGCGAAGAGAACCTGAAACGTATACAATGAGTTAACATGAGTGTCAGGACTCAGCAGGGGTACCTGAGGTTTTGCTATGTCAGTAAGGTAAGACACAATCACAAAAGAAGTCAGTCCAAAACTAATGCACCTATTCTTTTATTCAGCATTAACAACTCTTCTTGGACCCTTCCAGTGAGTTTCGAAGTTTAAGATATATTCAACCAAAATCGGTAAAAAACTCTATCGGGACTTCATGTTTCTGATGTCTCTAACATCAGTGAGCTGAAAGCTACGGAAGAGTGTGGATGAACTCACCGCTGACCCTTGGGATGTGGTAAGCTTGCTCTATCCCTCCAGCTGAGCCTGCTGCACTACTGCTTAGCTACTCAACCAGCCCTACAGCATGTGTTTTGTAATAGGGGAAAACAGAGAAAGCTGGCAAAGACAAGGAAATTCTGGGGCGTTAGGAGTTTACAGGGGATTTACAGGGCCTGTCAGTTCCACTGCGTAGCTGGCTCTTGGCTTTTCATGGTAGCAGTAGAGGCACTTGCCTGAGCTGTAATCTGAACCACTGCTTCTCTGTTAGCTCGAAGGAAAGCAGGTAAACCAAGTCAGAGGAGAATTTCCTGCAAGTCCCTTTCTTTCTTAAAGCTTCAGGGAGGGGCTTACAAAAAAGCACAGGCTGTGGATAAAATAGCTCTTACCAAGTGTAAACACTTTTTTTACACCTTCCATAGAAAAACAGGGGCATTTCTGACCCAGCCAGAACTAAGAGGACAGTTTCCTTCACTGTTTAAATTCCCAAACACAAATTACAGAATCAAGAGGAACAAGTGATCAGATGTACATTCCTATCCTCAGTTCATAGAACCATAAAACCCTTGGCTTATGTGTCTTCTAATTTATTTCAGCTATGTCTTAATAAAGCATAATTGGCTAATAGACAATAAGAAAAGCAGCAGTAATTATTTCCTAGATTAAAACATTCTGGAAATAAAGACATTTCACAGGGAGAGAGTCCAGAATTATCTCATTTGTTAACAAACTCCTTTTCTGTTATGAAAACAAGGGAGAGCAACCAAACTGTACTTCACACACCACAGGACAGCAGAAATTGCACCTGCACAGCACTACTGCTGTACTAGTATTTGTACTGCAGATCTTTATTTGTGAGCTGGCATAACCCACAGCAATAAAATGTGGCTCTCAGCAGGAATGCAAGAGCCAAGGGTCATAAATACTCAGTGTGATAATGACATGTATAAATTCCTCTTCTTCACACGGGCAGGATCTCTACATCTCTAAAGCTTGTGCAGAACATAGGTGAATGGCACTCTGCTGAAAGGCTAAGTCAGTGCTCCTATGCTGGAAGAAGTGAAGCTTTCCCATCTGAATTGCCTGATATAGGTAAATAAGTCCTTAAGACATATTTTCATTGATTCAAGGCAGACCTGAGCTGAGAGCACCACAACTTTCAGGAATTAATTAATATTCCCATGATTCTCATTAATCTTAATGAGAACCACAAAACTTAATACACTGTTATCAACCTACAGACTGCCCACCCATTCTTTGCTAATTTTTTTGTTCTGGGTTCTTTTTTACCGGTTTCTGAAATTAGAGTGAGGAAGAGAGGTTTTTAACACAAATATTGTATCAATGGAGCAGACAGAGCACCTGCCGTACCTGGGAACCCCATTGCAGCTTTGTTGCAAAGGTTGGTCTAAAAACGGCTTTGCTTCCTAGCTCAAATGCCATAAAGAATGACTGATTTTATCATTATGATTTTTTCTAGGTGGATGCAGCTGCAGTATTATAGACATTCCAATAAACTGTACAGGTTTTAGAAAAGGTATGAGCTAGTATTAAATCAAAGCAGAGTGTGGATGAAGCCTAAGGGTGGCAGCATCTAACTTCAATTTAAGGTAACCATTTTCTCCCCAAAGATTTGTCTGTAAGCAACTGCATTGGCAACAATAGCAAAGAATAGAATCTATTTTTGGATGCAAAAGAGAAGGAATCGATTATATTTCCTTGTACATGTTAGAATAACAACTTGTTGTTTCAATGGTGTTTCAGTGGCTTTTCTATTTTACAAATTGATCTAAAAATTTTTTTTTGCATGAAGTTTACCATTCATTAAGTATAAAAATTACCAAAAAAAAAAACACAAACTGAAAAAAACCCCACACCAAAAAAAAAAAAAAGCAACCCAGTAAGTATCTACATGGATGTTCTTCTAAAACAAAAACAAAACAGTAAAAAACCCAAACAAACAAACAAACAAAAAACCCCAAACCCACAAAAGACAGTGTTTTCATGTGGTTAGGTAAACATCAAGAGACTACTGGACTTGTTACAAGTAGTCCTTTCTAATACCTTTCTAATAGCAGGAGAGGAAAAGCTGTACACTAAGGAAAAAATACATGTTGGGGCTGATGTATTCTCACTTTGTCAAAGCAACATGGATTAGTTTGTATGCCACTGCTAGAAAGCAAAAAGGAGTGGGCTGGAGCTCACACTTGAATAAATCCTGCCATCTCTGTCCTTGCCTCTGCAGAGCTAGTGCCAGCACAGTGAAGACCTTGGGATGAGTTATTTTAGAAAGCTGTGCAGTAGTAAGGCTTGACTCTGCATCTGTTCCCAGAGTCGCTGTGTCTGGAGCAGTAGTTGTGAAATGGCATACAAAGCAACAATAGAATTAGCAATATATAAATGGAGGCAATGGAGGCTGTAAAAATTAATGGTGTGAGGTTAAACTATTTAAATGGCTTAGATGCTCATAACAGGTGAGTATAAAAATCCCTTTGTGTTTTGCCACAACCTAGACTGTGTTACTGATACCATTTACATATTTATTTTTGCAGTGCAAGATGGAGTGCACCAGTGGGCTGTTGCTAGAGGCCTAAAGTCCCTTTAGCTAGAGCAAGGTGTATAGGGCCACCTTGGATCTCACCCTGTATTGCTCAGGGACTCCACAATTGTCTGGCCATGATCTCTACTATGGATATGGAAAAAGAGATGCCTCTGTGCCCATTCATTACCCTTTTGTAAAACTCCACAGATAGTGTCCATCAAAGAAACTGTGGTCTGAGCTGTTTCTGAGCAGCTAGACTGTAAGGATACCATGCATCAGGAGTCAAGATTACTTGGCTACAAACGGCTTGCAGGTATGTACAACAGCATGCTGGAAAAAGTTTTAGTTTGATTTGGAAAAGAGAAAAAAAAAAGAAATGCCTCTTTCTTCTCTAACCAGTACTTCTCACTGACCTTAACGAAGAAGGATTGCTGCAGAAGCTGTACTCAGCTTCCATAATTAATCATCTATAAATGGATAGATGTCACTCACTAGAGGGAATATCTGTGCAAATAAAGCAGAGCTGTAATCTGTGCAAATAAAGCAGAGCTGTAAACTTCTTTTGTGAGACAACAGATGGGCACCATCAACTTCTAAGCAGAAAACCAAACACTGTAACTGATTACTAAAAAGTCCCTGTGGCAGATCACCAAAGAGTTTAGATACAATATCTTTACACAAGGGGCTGAGCAAGAGAGAATAACAGAAAAGAAGCACAACCTGACAGCCTTGATTTTGCTGTGAAGTGTCACATGTAGTGAAGGTGACACCTTCTTTGAAGTGGTGTTTGCCAAGGTCACAGAGCTCTCCAGAAGCGTTTGTCTTTTGTCATGGATGCTGAGCACTCACAGGTAAAATAAGAGATGTGGTTCTTTTATTTTTTTCTTACGACAAACTATAAAGCTTTAAAGTAATTTGAACAGATTGTATGTAACAGCTGGTCACAGATAGTTTATACAAGGCTAAGGCAATACAGCAGCAGTTTCTATCCTGGATC